CATTTTGTTCCGTCATAATCTCTAATTCAAATTTTCAAATTTCTCTAATTCAAATCAATTTCATTTAATTTACTTTCCTTTATTTTTTTGCTAGAACTCTTTTTTTTTCTTATAGAATTTTAAATTAAATTTATGAAAAACTAACGCTTTTTATTAAGTTTTTTTAAGGATAAATCTTATATGAGCAAGAGAGTGACATAGAGATCAAAACAAATGACAGCCTGATCAATAATGGGTAGAAATATTTATTTTTCTAAGCGTACTTATGATGAAATACATTCTGCTCAAAAAGTACCCGGATTTTGTAAATAAAACACAAATTTAAATTTTATTCCAAATTTATTTTATCTCCTTCAAAATATGCTCCTTCTGAAACGATACACGTATGCCAACGCTTAACCCAATCTTTCATACACTTTTCGTAGACCCGTGTAGGAATGGCTATTAGTTTCTTCAGCGAATTCTCTTTTACCGATTCAATCGACTCAAAACGCTTACCACGAAGGGGCAACTTGAGTTTCGGAAACAGGAAAAAGTTCGCCAGGCACCATAGATCGGGCGAATATGGTGTCTGAGCGATGACAGTGGTGCCGGTGCCGTTTTTGCTCAAAAAATCGTGTGCAACAAGAATTTTCCATAGTAAAAATCGCTAAATGCACTTGAGGTAGTCTTACATTAACAGCCGCTGTAAACAAACTAATTGACAGATGACGCTCAAATTTGTATCATATGTCAAGAAAGGGTCTACCAACATAAAGAAAAATTTTTGAAAAAGATCTACTACTTAAGGAGTAGTAAACAAACAACTAAATCCGTATATTTTTTGAGCAGAAGGTATAACACTCCTCTTCTTGATCAACTGATTTATCTGCTTTATATAAGTTTCTTGTTTTTACTGTTGATAATTGTGAAGTAAATAAATTTTGATAACTTTAAAAATAACTCCCAATAATGTATAGAGCTTATATTAGGTATTTCATGTTTTGGATATATATAATATATTCATATATATATATCCATATATATATTATATATATTATAATATAATATATACTAGTATTAATCATTTTAAGCACAACCATCTCTGTACTTTTTCAATTTTGTTTATAATCTATCGGTATAAATAAATTAACGTGTTCCATTATATTAAGCCTGCTAAATATATTCTACAGCAATTGAGTTTTACAATTTTAATATATTTTAATTATATTTTAATAATAATTAAACATTTCATTTATTATTTAATACAGCCGTAGTTAGCAGATTTATGTGGTTACTCAATCTTTCGAAATATTTAAAACTTCATTCTGGATTTTATATATTAATAATATAAGTACTTGTAAGATACTGAAGTATCTAAGCTTATTGTTTTGGGTATATGTACTTTTTTTTTGGAATTATACAATAAAAATTTAACAATAAAAGTTAATAAATTTTGATGCACTAGAGATTTTCATATTTTAAGACAAATAAAAGCTTTCAAATTATTTTAAAACTTTTCCATGGATAAGCCAAAATGATTTAAATATTGCATTTGCATATATCGTTGAGTGTAAAAACTTAGTGGCAATCATTTTTCACGATACATACTACCAAAAGGTTTTTGTTTTTCGATGTTTATTTTATGGTTAACCACTTAATACACATTCACTGCAGAGTAAGGAGGGCAAGTAAAATAATTATATCTGCTAAAAAGAGTACTTATGGAAAAATTTATATTGCATAGAAGCCGACTTTGGACAACGCTACTTTTATCTCAAAAATGTCTATATTCGATATAAAGTAATGCAGATAAGTTAGATGAAATATATGTATGTTGTCTAACAGACAAAAATTATTTCAATCAATGTAAATGAAAAATTTATCAACTGTTTTTCGTCTGTTATCTCGTTTGCGTGAATTGTTCTTGCATTTGCACTTATGAAGAAATGGCACAAAAAAACAATTTTCTTTTTAACAAACGAAAAATTCGTCAACTGTTTTTCGTCTGTTATCTCGTTTGCGTGAATTGTTCTTGCATTTGCACTTATGAAGAAATGGCACAAAAAAACAATTTTCTTTTTAACAAACGAAAAATTCGTCAACTGTTTTTCGTTTTCCAAAATGTTTGCACGAAGATCATCACAATCGAAGAAATGGTTAGTGCAAATGATCACAACGTTACCAAATAACGTACACCAAACAATTTACATGTGTAAATCGAAGAATCATTTACAAGCGAAATAATTTTGTGCTTTAATTTTATTCACAATCTTAAAGCTTTTAAATGAAGTCGTGTAATAGCACATAATGAGAGGGCACATCCAGAGAGGGCGTGAAAAGGAAGTCCCATTACCACTTAGCTACGCTTACATATGCTTTAAAAAGTACAGGTTGATTGAAAGTATCTTTTTCCTAATGCGTTGTCCTAACTGGTAAGATGAAAAGTGAATGTAGTAACGGATTTAAAGGTAGTTATTTACACTAAAGGTAGGAACTTAAATTTTTGATAAGATTAAACACAATCTCGTGAATGCATTTCAGAGAATGTAAACTAAATCATAAGATACCATAAAAGACTTAATTGAACGTAACTTATTTGAGAAATCATAAACTGAAATTATTGGGAGAGCATATAATATGAAGTCAAAGGCATAAAACATTTATGTCAATAACTTCTGGCTATAGGGAACATCGGTAAATGAAAAGTCATCATCAACAGCAGCAATTGTAAAAAGAGTAACAAATAAATGAAATTCTAATTGAAATCCAAACGATATAAACTTTTTCAATTAAAATGTAGACAAAAGTGTGAAAAACTTCATTGAAACAGTTGCACACAAACTTCTATAGAAAAAAAAATAAAATATAATTTATACCATTTTAGTACAGAAAATGTCTGTCTGTCCGTTTGTTGTCTGTGTGTGTCTCCGTCAACCGCAGTGTCAATTTTAAACTCATTGTCAGCGAAGCAAACATTTGTTGCGGTTACGATTGCGCTTTAGATGGCATGAGCCTAGCCATACTAGGCTATATAATATCAAATGATGGATAATCGGAAAATAAAAGATGCACTACCAAATTTAAGAGTGAAAGTTTTCACAATAAAAGTCATCAACTTTTATAATTTATTTGCGTGAAGGATTCAACGGGTAAAAAAATTTTAATAGTGGATTGTATGACTCAATAGTTCAATTGTTCAATTAATAGTGGGGTAGAAGGTTTGCGATCCAAAAAACTTTATAGAGTTATCATAGGATACTACAACTGCAACTAGTATCTGCTCAAATCAGGTATTCCCGAGTGCGATTAATGTTAATATTCCTATGAAACACTTAACTATTAAATACCTAGCTTTGTAACTGGTAATTGGAAAACAGGAGCTAGAGGAAATTGACTTCAACGAAATTAAATTTGAGTAGCTTGTCCGTTTTCTTAATAAAACAACAAATTAATAGGGTTTGGGATGGATGTAAATAAGTCTTTGGACTTTAAAAGTTGTTTAAGAAAATTTTGCACTTCACATCTCGTATATATCATATGAAGGGTAGTTTGAGTTTTTCTAATCACACGACAAAAGATTTGATTGAAATTTACTTATTTGAGAAAGAGTTTTTTTCGAACAGTAGTGAAATACAACAACAAAAATTTATTTTTTATATTATTTTTAATTTATTGAATTTTTGGCTGACCATACAGCTGTTTCGAGTATTGCCAAATACCCATCATCAGTGGTCTTGGAAATAATTCTTGTATTTAATTATTCGTAAATAATTATTTTTTGAGACTGCAAGTACCAGGAATCGAACTCGGGTCCTGCCAAATGTGAAGCTCAGAATCAGCGCACTTTAACCAACTGATCCAAACTGATAATTAAAATTATTTAGAAAATATGCTCTCCAAATAAAGTAAAAATAACAATATGATAATATATTTCAATATAATTATCTTGCAAGATATATAGAAAAGAGAAAAGAGTGGAACGCAGTAGGCTTTGACGAAAGTTGTGTCAGATGGAAAACAGTTGAAGAAACATAAACTATAACATTATAAAATGAAATTAACCTAAAACTAATAACAATTGAGTGTACAATTTTAGAATTAACTTAGCTCTTCTTATACTTGTATATGTACTTGCTTTACCTAATAATACTATACTATGTAATATGAGATATTACAATGGTGTAAATTTACATAAAAGTGATTCTTTCGACTAATAATAGTCGAAAATAGTAAAAAGTATATAGAAGGTAGGTTGAGGGAGTTTAAATATTGAGAGAGATGCAGTGCATTAAGAAAAAGTTAATATTTAATAAATACATTTGTAAAACGCGAGTAGTAAAAAGAACATATCTTGTTAAGAGACTACTTACTATAATAATTTGAATGTTCTATTGTTACT